ATATGTGAGAAAAATCTCAATTGGTTTCAATGAGTATTGATTGACATATTACTTTTTTACTGATAAGATATCTCTTATAGTTGTAATAATAAAAATGCTCTATCTCTTCAGAAACAGGCCAGAAACCGAACCTTTTTTAGCATAGACATAGCTCACTATGGGCTACCAGATGCGCTAAATCCCAGCTGAAAAGCGTTCCTTCACCTTGGAATGTTCCCTTGTTAGTTTCTTATTTTCCATTTTCTAAATATGTGTTAAGAACAAAATAACGAAATTCAGGCAGTAGTTTACGCAGACGGCCTTAAAGCCCTATCAGAAATCCAGAATGATAAGTATTATAACATGTATTTGTAAAATTGTACTAGTAATTGACATTATCAAAATATAAATATACATAAAGATTTATTTTAATTTGTAGATAAAAATTGAAATTTTACCATAATTGGCAGATGATCACTCGGATGTTTCTCGTTCGGTAGAGTAAACTTGTCTCGTTCTTTCTGCAATACTTTTTCATCGTCGGTGTTCAACGCGTTCAGCAGCACGACGGGTTTCAATTTGTCTTTCTGATACCAAATCCAGTCTATTGAACCCTCAAAGTGACCCGCAATCCGCGATGTAAATGGTAGCTGGAATGTTTGTTCGTTGTAGGCACTCTCGATCGTCTTGAAACTATGTTTCTCTGCAAGATATTGACCACTGCGTTCCTTGCTATCAAATATCGTCGAGTACATGTCGTAAACGTTCTTGTAATGAAGTGAAGTTGTTTCTACATAACCTTTGAGCAGATATTCGACAACGATCGACTCTGGTTTGCTGTTAAAATCCCCGACAATCACAAATGTTGTGTTATCTTGATTGAGTCGAACGAGTTCAGTCAGTAATGCCTTGACTTGAAACAACTGTGTGTGCGCATGGGCTGTATTCCAGTTAATATGCGTGTTGACGATCCATACTGACTTGTTATTTTTCAACATTTTTAGATTGCAGAAAAGAGCGGCATTATACGTGGCCAAATTGAATTGCTCGAGGGGTAGTTTATTTTTCCATGATTTATATTGCGCTTCAGCATAGTCTGAATAGCCCAAACGTTCGTAATGAAGCAATGAAAATTTATCACGTTTATAGAATGTCGATACTCCATCTTCAGCCGTACCTCCACGCTCGGAGAATAGACCGGGTGCATAACCCAGCTGAATCATATAGGGAAGAAGCCACGTTTGAAAATCGTTCTTGTTCATTTCTTGCACACAAACGATATCGGAGTCGAACCTTTTGAATTCGCCTTCGAATAATTTTGATCGATAGCCAAAATCGAGATAAACCGGATCACTTTTAGGAAAATATTGAGATTTTGCCAAATTAGATGCCAGACAATTGTAGCTCATAATGGTAAAATCGGTAATGCTGTCAACAGTAGAAGCATTTTCATTGCTCACGTTGATCATCTTGAATTGTCGCTGATTTTTTAAAAAAAATTTAATGTAGAATAGATTTTTTAAGCGATATTCTGGCCGAAAAAGATGCCACATATGTGAATCTAAGAACAGAAAGAAAAGAAAAACACATAATTTAAATATTCATCCAAAGATAATTTTCTTTCAAAGTTTATTTGATCATTTTCACTATGAAACAAATTATTTATACTTCATATTTGACAGATCCAATTTGAATTTGTTTCTTTAATCAAGAATAGTAAAAGATATGTATTTTCCAAGATTTGCCTGAATTTTTTTGAGGACCTTGAACACGAGGTCCATTTTCTCTTTAAATTCACACATGTGGCATATTTTTCAGTCAGAGTATCGCTTAAAAAAATTTTATTCTTCAGTATAGTCAGAACTTAGATATCACAAGGTAGAATAGGGCTAGGTATCAATAGATAGCTACTCTGTACACATCTACGTTAATCGATTAATTGACTAATTAAAAAACGATCAGCATTTGTTATTCTGAACAAAATGGACAACTTTCAAACATTTTCTCTTCGTTAGTGTTGTTGATAGTCGATTTTAAATGCGTTTCCTTCGAGTTATGACTAGGGGTAACACTTTTACTTTTTCGAATAAATTAAGCAAAACGTTTTCATCTTACATAACTAAAAAACAAGCTTTTATTTACTTTTTATCAAGTAAAAGAGAAAATATATTATTATTTATTAAAGACAAAAGAAAAAAGATATCAAATTTTGTTTTTACTTTTAGCTTTAGTAAAGTAATGTACTCAATTTTTCTTTACCACATAAATAAAAAGTAAAGTGCCACTCTTAGCTATGACAAAAAAAATTGAAAAAGAGATAACTGTAGTTAGAAGAAAATAGTACAGATGATTTTATTTGTCACCACGTGGTAGAAAAGCGATAATGTTTTATAACCTTGTTCATCTTTAATCTAAAAGACGTTTTAAACAGAAAAATGCTAACAAACTCACTTCCGTGGATCGGAGATAGAGTAATACATACGTTTCTCATTCTAATTACAGGTCTTACCGAAATCCGTATGCAGGGTATAGTAAGAGATGTACACTGCAAAGGAGTATTCGCCTGTGAAAGAAGGTCCATATTCGTGAATGTATCATTCTGTTACTCTTCGAAGAAGTTAAAGGTTAAAGAGAAAATGGTCTTAATCTGTAATGACAATGTCTGTGTAACATGAAGCTATCCCTGTCGACGAAATCGCGGTATTTTTAACAATTAATCTCGATTCTTGAAAAATCGCAGATTAATTGTTGATTTTAAGCGATTAAATGGTTATTGTTATTCACCATTTTATTCTGCAGTAAAGTATGTATATAAGAAACACGATTTCAACGAGAAATACACTTCTATTTAGATCATCTTTTTATTTTAGAGTAAAACGGGGTTGTGAAGTCTTCTCGGTGATGCCTCAGAGCTTTAAGTTGAGGAGCCCAGTGCACAGCTGGTATATGAGCAATGCCTAAAATCGAGTCGTCGAAACAAAGGTCCAGAATCTGCCGCTAAAATGAGAAATTTCCTCGAACGGTGGAGTTTTTTCGAAAAATTTCCCCGGCTAGAAAAACAAAAAAAAGAAGGCTTCTCTGTTTAACGTGTATGTTCGAAAAAATTAATTTTTTCCAAAATTCTTCTCTATACCCCGTAATTTTCCAAACCTTTCCCCAACCGGTCGTTACCACACTCGGTAGATTCTGCAACTCTGCGTCAGAAAAACTCCGACTTCAGCTGTTGCTAAGACCCTTGCTAGGTGATGTACATGTCATTATACATAATAAACAATGAAAAAACAGAAAAAAATATGTGTTTTCTAAGATGGGTTCGAACTTATTATAAAAAAAAAAATCGTCAATTAATCGCGATTAATCGTATGATTTTTCACGATTAATTGGCGATTTTTATGCGATTTTTAGTACATGGGTACATCTATCCTTCATTCAAAAAAAATCGAACTGATATAGAGAGAAAACCTCCCTAGTGAATTCCCAACAGCGAATGAACGGGTGATAGAACGGCGTTCCAAAAACCTACTGAATGGGCGTTCAAATCGATTTCGAACTAATTCCGTGGCTACCTGGAACGGGGTTCAAGAACTAGACTCGTTCAAAGAACTTAAGGGAGTTCAACAACCCGTTCCACATGGTCTATTAACGCCCTTCGCCTACTAGTTCCCTGTCACATTTTCTTGCCCAAGTCAGAGGGAGTTCAACCATTCGGTGCACGCGGTGGATTTTTCAAAACAAAGTGAAGACATGATTAGAAGCTAAAATATGGAAAGGAATCAAACTAAAAGGAAAGTGCTGTACAGAGCTAAATTATATAAATTTATTCACAAAAAGTGAGTAACTTCGTACAGAGTTACATGATCATATACCTGTTTAGAAAGAAAAACTATTGAGTAGGCTTCGTGATTGTATCTTGAGTGAAATCACTCGATTTACAGAGGAAAACGTCTTCACTTTTACAGCACATTCGGAAGGGAATCAGCAGTGAGTAGTAAAGAAAGCGAAAAGTAAACAATCAAATATGACAGAGTTCGTGGTTTTTATGTTTTTTCGACTTTTGGTGGTTGAAGTAAGATGCTGCTAATGCAAAAGCTCAAAATTTTTTTTTTTTCGTTTTAGGACACGTGATCTGAGTCACCAGGAGCTGATGATCACGAATATGACCTTACTTTTTCGATGTGATCTAGTTTTCAGGAAGAAAATGGCAAATTACTGTGAAGGTGTCAC